CATGCTGAAGAGACTTCCCTATAGCGAGGGTTGGTAGTTACACTACTGTGGTGAAGAGGAGGGTTGCTCCATTCTTGGCCAGATCTTATAGAAATCATTTTCTTACCCCTCTTATCTCCAGTCCATCAGTCTCCCGATGAAAAGCAAATGCTCTGTTGTGGTTGTCAGGTTTCTTCTTAACCTCCGTCCCCTCCCAGGAGGCCCGGGAGCCGATTCAATGCAGGTTGCAAACACCTGCTGGGCACTCAGAAAGAACCAGCTCAGGGCATGAAGGAGGAGACTGCAGGCCCCAGGCAGGCAGGCAGGCACAGAGGGCCTGATACACAGCTGCAGGGTGTCTGACTCTCATGGAGGAACACTATGCTGAGGGGAGTTGGGGGGATAGTGAGCCTCAGTTCACGGGCTTGTGGCCAGAGGTCAAGGCAGGGTCCTCAGAGAAGAACACACTTGGATTGGACCTGAAGAATGGTGAGGAACTGAGTGTGCTGAGATGAATGAGAGAGGGGGAAAGATGTAAGCAAAGACACAAAGTAACAGAGGCTATGGATGTGAATAGCTGGCCCGTCCACTTTAACTGAAAAATAGGAGGTGGAGAGAGGGCAGGGAGAAAGGCAGCCGGCTAGGGCTAGATGGTGGATATGGTGGATGGATGGGGTGGGCCTAGGTGCTTGACCTGGAGAGGACCATGATCAGAGGTGAGCAAGCCAAAGGGATGGGGGATACTATATGGAATGAATGTGTGTGGAAGTGTGTATGTGTGTGTCTAGTTTTGGTAAGCCAAGGCATCATTATGAAACATCTTAAATATCCATGTGCCCATTTAAGATATGAAACATCTTAAATATCCATGTGCCCATTTAAGAAACACATTTTTTTCTTCTCCCTTCTCTGTGGTGTAGTGGCCAAGAATGTTTCTGGAATCAAATACAAATAGGTTCAAGCCTGGGCTCTGCCACTTACAATCTGCGTGAAAAATTACATAACCTCTCTGAGCCCCAGTTTCCTTTGTATCTAGAATGAAGACCTAAAATTTGCTCAGGGATGGGGTGAGGATAAAGTGAGGTGTGCAGGAAAAGCATTCGTAGAATGCCTGGCACACAGTAAGTGGTCAGTAAATTCTAACTGCTATTATTATTGTTGTTATTTCTCCTCGATTGCGGGTACCTGCTCTGGTGACTGTCCCCAGCCCCTCCCCCATGCCAGCCTGTTCCTGCTGTTTGGGACCAGCTCCCCACAAAGGTTATGAGTTATTCTGATGGCCTCTTTGCAGGTGTGACCAGCTCCCAGGACAGTGGCACCAGATACAGTGGGATGTGAGCCTGTAGCAGCAGCTGTAAGCAGGGCTTGAAAAAACACTTCCCCCACCCTGAGGGTCCCAGCTGGTCCTTATGCCCAACCCACCAGGTGCTACCCACTGGCAGGTACAACTGGTTGACCTCACCCTGACCTATTTTCTCTGCTGTCTATTTCTCATTTCTTCCTTCCTTCCTTCCTTCCTTCCTTCCTTCCTTCCTTCCTTCCTTCCTTCCTTCCTTTTTTTTTTTTTTAAAGCATCATGTTTTCCATTTTATTATTTATTTATTTATTGTTAATCCTAACCCACATATATTTTTCCATTAATTTTTAGAGTGTGTGGAAGGGAGGGGGAGAGACAGAGAGAGGAACATTGATGTGAGAGAGACACATTGATTGGTTGTCTCCCCCATTTACCTCAACCAGGGCTGGGATCTTGCGCCTGCAACCAAGGTACGTGTCATTGATTGGAATGGAACCTGGGACCCTTTGGCCCATGGGCTAATGCTCTATCCACTGAACCAAACTGTCTGGGGCTACATCTCATTTCTGGTTGTGTGAGAACCCCACTCCTTGTCTCCTGCCTCCTCTAGGCCAAGAAAGGCTGCTGGGAGGAGTGATTTCTATATGGAGTGGATTTCTCCTGTGGGTTCTGGACTGCCTGGACCCATGAAGAGGACAGCCTCTCTGCCCCTGTCTCCTGACCTTCCCCTTCCCTTGCACTTTTGTTCTTCCCTTCCCAAATCTCCATTTCCTCCTTTCTGTCTGTGCTTAAAATAAAGTCACACATTCCTGTAATGATTACAGTGTAATCCTTGTCAATCTCTTGTCCATTATTTCAAGCTTGGAGGGTTGGGTGGGGTCTCCAGGAGGGCATTCAAGGTGGCAGGGACTGCCAGGGTGATGCCAGCTATTTATGCATTGGTGCACTTAGGGCTGGGGACATTGAGGAGGGGCGCTTGATGGCTCAGGATCCTTGAGGTAATTCTCAAGCACTAGGAAGTGTCTGGCACAGTGTTGGCTCATAGCAGGCACTGAGCAATGTTAAAAGAATTAATGAATTCATCTCTAAGGTTTCCAATTTCCCATAGGTCAAAATATACATAATTAAAATTGTTGCAAATTAAGATGTGTTGGAGAGAATATAAGTTTTTTATATATTGCGGGTCAAAGAATAAATTACTATAGTGACTTTGGCAAATAATTTTGTGTGTGTTGTAATGTATATGCAGATACTGATTCATGACATGAAATATACTTCTTACTTTGAATTGTGGTTAAAAAGAGTTTGATAGTCAGGACCTTAAAGATCCTCTTTCTGAGCATATCAGTAGATATGTACCAAAGAGTTCATAGCAACATTGTTTGTTATAACAAAAAAATATATACACATGCATATCCATAGAAGAATGGAGAATTATTCATACATTGGAATACTATAGCACTGAAAAAGAAATTAATGGATGAATTCCACAAATAGGATGTTGAGGAGGAAAAATAAAATTATAAAAGCATATAAGCAGAGTAATTCTCTCTCCATCTATACTAATAATAGAGGAAGATACAAATTGTCCAGGACGCCATCACAGTAACGACGGATCAGTAGGCTGCATGTGCAGCAGGCGCCGGTGGGTTGGGGGCCATGGTGGGGCCTCCATGCACCTGCACCAGGGGAGGACCTGATCAGAAGCCACCACGGCTGCTTTGAGGGTTTGAGAGAGACACAGGGTCTGATCAGTAACTTCGGGGGCTTAAGAGGCCCAGAGAAAGAGGTAGGGCCTGATCAGCAGCCACTGTGGCTGCTGTGAGGACTGGAGAGAGACACAGGGCCTGTTCAGCAGCTGTTGTGGCTGCTGTGAGGGCTGCAGAGAGAGGCAGGACCTTATTAGCAGCCACCACAACTGCTGCAAGGGCTGGAAAGAGAGGCAAGGCCTGATCAGTAGCCCCTGTGGCTGCTGTGACTCGGGCTCATGCAAGAGGCAAACAATTGATATGTCCCTCTCACATTGATGTTTCTCTTTGTCTTTCCCTCTCTCTTCCATGCTCTCTAAAAATCAATGGGAAAATAGCCTCAAGGAGGATAAAAAGGAAAGAAATGTCATACCCTATGAAAGAGACATCTTGAAAATACCTAAAGAAAGTTGTCATTTTTTTTTGTGATGAAGGGACTGTAGTCCATGTTGATAAAAACACTTTGGCAGCTGCGAGGGCTGAGGGCTAGCAGCTGTGGTGGCTGGCAATGGCAGTGGCAGCAGCAGTAGGTTGATGGGGGAGGGGCCTTCTCCTGATCATCCTGGTGGCCTCCTGCAGAGGGAGGCCATACTATGGCTTAGGCCCACTCCCCATCAGTAGGACATCCCCCTAAGGGCTATGGGACTGTTAGAGGGGGCAGGCTGGGCTGAGGGAACCCTCCCCCCACCCCAGTGCATGAATTTTCAAACACTGGGCCTCTAATATATATGGCATAAAAGCAGGCAAAAGTAAATGATTACTTGGAGATTTATTCAATCATGATCCTATATAATAAAACCCTAATATGCAAAATGACTGAATGATGGAATGACCTGCAGAACGACCGGTTGCTATGATACTCACTGACCACCAAGGGCAGACACTCAACATAGGAGCTGCCCCCAGGTGGTCAGTGTGCTCCCATGGGGGAGCACTACTCAGCCAAGGGCTGGGCTCACAGCTGGTGAGTGCAGTGGCGGTGGCGGAAGCCTCTCCTGCCTCTGTTATAGGTGGACAGTAAGGAGCGAGGGGTTCCAGACTGTGAGATCCTCGAACTGCAAGAGGAATTTTTGACTGCCAGCTTAGGCCCAATCCCTGGGGGGGTGCAGAGGGGGGAGGGTCAGACCTAAGCTGGCAGGAAGACATATCTTGAGGGGTCTTGGACTGCGAGGGGGCACAGACTGGACTGAGGGACCCCACCCCTCCAGTGCACAGATTTCATGCACTGGGCCTCTAGTAAAATAATGAAGAAAAGCAAGAGAATAGTTAACACAAAAACCCAGGAGTGATTACTTTAGAGATTGGATGGGATTAGGGATGAAGGATGGGTCCCACAGGGAGATTTGAAGGTACTGGTGGGTACACAAGGATTTGATTTATTAAATGTATGTTATATATACTCTTTGGCTTGTCTGAGAAGTTTATAAACAAAAAGAAATGCCAATAGAAGCTCATACTCTCTAGTCCCCTGGTTTCTTCTTCAGTTTAGAGTCATCACCCCAAATTTCCTATCAAGTCATAGGACCTGGAATCCCCAGTCCCAGTGTCTCTCCCTCATGTCTGTCTTCCTCATTGCTAACAGATAGGCCTGCCTAAATCGCCTATAAATCGCCTATCTCATAGCAATGTGGCTGGTCTGCTCAAGCACCTTCCTTCAAGGTCCATTCCAGCCCAGGGACCTCCTCTTTCCCATCTGAGCTCACAGAACTGCCCCTTCTACCCCAGGTCAGAACTCTGCAATTGTAACAACAAGGTGAGGTCATAAAGCCCCCAGCGAGGAGAGGCCTTGTCTTCAGAGGTGAGGATTCTGGGAGTTCTTTGGGCTGTAACTTGGCTTAGTGCTCACGGGAGGCCTGGAAGAGACTACAGCTTGGCTCATCATGGTAATATCAGCCCACTGCCCTTATTTATTCCTCCCCTCCCCTGATCCTCCTTCTTACTCTGCTGCCCCCACCCCACAGTGTGAGGAGATAAAGATGACCATGCGGAGACACAGGCAGAGCCTGGGGTACAGCAAGGAAGATCTCAACAGGCTTAACAAGGCCATCCAGCGGCTGACTGTGGATGTGAACAGAGCTGAGAGTCAGGTTAGGGGTGGGAGTGCGGTTGGCAGAGTGGTGGTGGGAGGGATGTGTGTCCAGAATTTATGACAACTAGAATACATTCCCCTCTCCCTGTCCTTTGAAATAGATTGAGTTTCTCTTTGTGAATGCCTGAGCAAATAGGAGTGTGGCTATAAATGTATATCATACTTACATTTACCTACGGTTCTCTGTAGTTCACATGGGTAAATCAATAACCTGTAGGTAAATATGTATGCATATGTGTGCTTGTTTGTATATCATTTTTTATGGGTATGTACATTTTTATGTCTATGTGTTTGCAATTCATAGTATTACATTTGAGCTCATCTTTAGAAATGGAAAGATTTTACCTAGAAACCCAGTCTTTTGGTTTCTGTTTAAAAATATGTAGATCTGGTAGTATTAACTGTGTCCCACATGGCAGCCTTTGGCTTGGGAATATGTTCCTTTGTGTGCGCAGGCCCCACCATTCAGATTGCCTCCTTTAACATTGAGGCAGAGGGTTCTTTGCCACTTACCGTTACCTTGGCTAGCACTGTTATCCCTGTGGAGAGAAAAGGTGCTGAGGCTGTGTCTCTAAAGTAGAGAAATGAGCCATAGCTGGTTTAACTCAGTGGATAGAGTATCGGCCTGCGACTAAAGGGTCCCAGGTTGGATTTGCCAAGGGCAGGTGCCTCGGTTGCAGACTCAATCCCAGGCCCTGTCTGGATCGAGTGCAGAAGGCAACCAATCAATGTGTCCCTCTCACACTAATGTGTCTCTCTCACATTGATGTTTCTCTCTCTGTCCTCCCTCCCTTCTATTCTCTCTAAAAATCAATGGAAAAATATCCTTTGGAGAGGATTAACAAAAAAATAACTTTGGCCCTGCCGATGGCTCAGTTGTTGAGCATTGACCCATGATCCAAGAGGTGGGTGGTTTGATTCCCAGTCAGGGCACCTGCCTGGGTTGCAGGTTTGGTTCCCTAGCAGGCAAGAGCAGCTGATCAGTGATGATTTTCATCATTGATGTTTCTATCTCTCTGTCCCTCTCCCTTCCTCTCTCTCTTAAAAAACCAAAACCCAAAAACCAAAGAAATATTTTAACAAAATAGAGAAATGAAGGGCTGGAAATGTGAAAGTGATGCTGGTGATTCCATGACACTGAGAGCATGCATGTTTCTCTGTGGATCTGGATCCTGCTGTGTATAGTTAACATTTGGCCTTGACTGTTGGACGCCTCAGCCAGGCCTCTGTAGGCATTTGTGTATGCGACTCAGGCTTAGGTCTTAGGAAGGACAGTTTCCACACGAACGCTTGCTTTCCCCGACTTCTTTCCCTGACAACCTCCTCTTTTCTCCCAGTCCCCTCTTTGTCAAGCCTTCCCAAATCATGCTCCATATTGTAGGGAAGGGGTTCTGCTTTGGTCTTTTCTTGCTTTCTGCAGAGACAAGTGTCCCAGGTTCTGAGGGGGGTTCTCCTTTCTCCAGGAACTGATGACGCCAAGGGCAGATGAGCTGTTCAGGCTCCAGGGGTGGCAGAACGAGAGGGTAGGTATGTTGGGGTTCAGTCCTCCACCAGCCACAGCTCTGGTCCTGCCTCCCCTCTCCCCAGCTGATTTCCTAAGCAGCAAGCATCTTACCGAGGCAAGCAGTTATTATTGTTTCCCCCTGAAGACTTCACATGCTAGTCTTCAGTGAGGACAGAATAGCCATCTTATTAGTTCCCCTGGTAAACAATAATCTCAGCATTATGTGCTAAGGAGCATTTGCTGCTTCTCCCACCTGAGCTCATATCACAAGTGTCACCATACTGATGTGAAGGGCTTTCTCTCAGCCATTCCAAATGGCTGGCCCCAAATCTCCCTCCTGGTAATAGGGTGCGCACTCGCATGCACATGCACATGCACACGCACACGCATACACACATTTCAGAACAGGCATGCTCACTCCACACAACAATCTGTAATCCTCATTGGCTCCCCAGCCTCTTGATCCTTGAGGGAATAGAGGTGGGGACCAAAGATGTCCTTCTGTCCATGGTCTTCCCTTCACCCCCAGCCATGCGAACTAGAGGGAGCTCTGCAGGAGGAGGGTGCCTCGGGCAGTGTCAAGGGCAAGCTGGCCTGGATGGAGGCTGCCCTGCAAAGGGCCAGGCAGGCTATGGTGTGGCAGCTGCAGGAGTACCAGGAGCTCATGGTCGTCAAGCTGGGCCTGGAGTTTGAGATCGCCACCTACCACAAGCTGCTGGAGGGTGAGAAGAGAAGGTAAGGGCTGGGCAGTGCTTCAGATATAACACACGGAGTATAAGGGGTCACTACCTGGGGCCTCAGCAGCTGGGATGGGGTGGGGAACGGTGACCCGAGTATCCAGGGACTTGTTTTCCTGGAGGCAGTTTGTTCCCACTATTCAACAGCCCTTTATGGAAGGCTAATGAGCACCATGGCACCTGCGTTGGGGCAACTCATACATTCATTCATCCCCAGGACCAGAGAGCAGGGGCTAGTTTGTCCATCATGGCAGCTGCAAGGTCCAGCCAGGGGAATAAGGTCTCAGTGAGGAGGAGTTCTTCTCAGTTCTGCCCATCTTCCTGGGACCTGGGGAAGGCAGGGTTTGTGGGAACCAGGAGGGACTGGCTTTTACTCTTAGACAGCAGTAGGGACTCAAAAACTGCCAGCTCCATCCAGCTGGGGACAAAGGCTGAGGGGAGGAGGGAGAAGGAGTCCACCATGCAGCCATGCTACATTATTTCTCCTAAACCCACACCACCATAGGAGGAATGCTGGTATCAGATGAGGAAACTGGGTCTCAGAGAGGGCAAAAGGACCACCTCCGGGATGCACAAGTAGAAAGAGGTTAAGTGAGGCTTGAACAATATTCTTCAGATAATTGAGCTGTCTTTTCTGTGGTCTCCTTTAAGATGCATCCCCAACCATGGTGTCCCTTTTCAAGATGTTTAGGCCCCCCTGAAAGTATAGATTTTTTTTTTTGCCTTCTCCCTCTCCCTAGAAGTCATCAATAAAAGTAAGTTATTTAAATTTATGGCAGGAAGAGTTGAATTTAAAGGTTCAAAGGAGCCTTCACTAAAAAGGGCTGTGGGGATCTGAGAGAACCAAGGAGCATACAGGATGAATGACTTCTGTAGAAAAGAGAATGGGGACTATTACACCAAAGAGACAGATCCACTTACCTGTGTCGTCCTCCTCTCTGCAGGGTCGGCCTGAGAGGGGAAGCAGAGAGCCTCAGTAAGTAAACGGCAGGGATAGCTTCGGTTGGAGGGGCCAAATCCTATCTGCCCCCCTTTGTTGTGCCTTCTCTTGGAAAGGGAAAAGGGGTCTGCTTCCTCTGTGTGTCTTCTTCTGTCAGGGGAGGTTTCTTCTCTTGGGAGTGAGTTGTTGTGTTTGTGTGTACTGGGGGGGGGGGGGAAAGGGTCCCGGGGTCTGTTCTTTGCAGGGAGGTTCTGTTGGTTCTGCCTGGGGTGTGGAAGGAAGTTCTGAGACCTTATTCTTATGGGCAAGACGTATTCTTGGGTGGGCGGTTGGGGGTGGGGATGGGATCTGTGTCCAACTTCGGAGAGGAAGGATTCTTGAGTCTGTTTCTTGGGAGAAGGGGGTCTGTGTATCTGTTACTTTGGGGAGTTGGCCTGTCTGACACCTAGTAGGGAGGAGGGTCTGTGCAGTGCTTCCTGGGGGAGTTGCTGGTAGGTCTGTCTCCTGGGGTGGAGGGCAGGAAGGGGGTTCCTCCTGCCCCCCAACAGCTACTCTCTGCTCAGCCCTGGACAGCGATCTCACCTGCCTGCCCGGCTTGGCCTGGGGCCCTGACCGCCTGCTATTTTCAGGAGCAGGCTCTGACGCCCCAGAGATGAGCACTCCTGGCTGCAGCGGCCTGCTCTGCGGCTCCTCTGGCTGTGTTGGGGAATTCGGCTGCAGAGACTTCCCCGGATGTTGAACACTTCCTCTCCTGCTCCAAGAACCATAGCCTTTGTCCTAAAGGCTTGGTCCTCTGTCTCAGACGCCCCTCCCAAGGATCTGGCCCTCGCCTCATTTTCCCCTTGTATCCCTTACCCTGGAGCATAAAGTCTCAGTTTTGCCCTTTGAGCTGTCTATTCCCCTGGATTCCTAAGAACAAAGACAAAAGCTGGCCAGATTTGGGGTCGGGACACTACCCAGAAGCAACTATCCTCATCAGCTCTTTCTGGCAGAGGAGCTGAGAACTGTATCCATTCATCCACTCACTGACTACAGACACGGAGTGGCCTCGGGGTCAGGCATAGTGCATGGTGTGCAAGATGACACACTAGTCCTGGCTCCTTGGAGATGACATTCTGGTGGGGAGGGGGGTCCTAAACAAGGAAACAGGCCAGAAAGAGAATGGAGTGGGCCAGAAATGAGGGTGCGCCTTTTGTGCCCCGTCAGAGGCACTTTGAACAGGCCCAGGGAAGATGGCCCCTGCAGATTGGGGCTGGGGGATATGAGCACAACTGGGAGGCTCAGGTCTGAGTTCTAGTTTCACAAGTGACCTGATGGTGGGCTGGGAACAACTGATTACGGTGGAGGAAAGCACGCCTTTAGCATCAGACTGAGGTTCCAGCTCTGCTTCTAACTCAAGGTCTATGGTGTAGTTGGGTTTGAGTTTTCACGAGGTAACTAACTGGACTGTAGGGGACAGAAGACAGGCCAGTGTGGAGGGCTGGGTGGCCAGTGAAGGTCTGGGTTTCTGAGCTGTTGTCTTAGCACACAGCCTGAGAGATGCCCCCATCTATTGAGCTCACATTCTTGTCTATTGCACAAAGATTTACATCATCAGTGCGTCCGGGAAACAAAGGTTTCTGCTTTCTAAGTCCCTGAGTAGGGCTAAGGTATGTCATTGGAACGAGGCTTTACCTGGTAAGGTATACCAGTGCTAGGGTGCCTGCTGTGTTTTCCTGGGTCCCTGCCCAAAGGTATCTAAAAGGCTCCCTTTCTGGGTAAAGAGAGGAATCTCATGCTAGAGGGATGGGATGGAAACATGGCCGGCAGGTTACCACCTCTTAAAAGGTAGGGGACATGCCCCCACTGGACTCCTGCAGCAGCCCCATTTGATCCATACTGACTAACACCACTGATATAAACATTCTTACCAACGCTCCCAGTGCAAATCAGCTCCTGGAAAGAGAGCTTGCCCTTCTGCAAGATTTTTCGGTTGGGCATTTTGCCCAGGAGTTTCAGGCAGGATTTCTGAGGAGCCTACTGCAGCCTGCATCACAGAGGTCTGGCTGTTGCCTCCATTTTTCCTTTCTAAATGCCATGCCTGACGTCAGTCCAAGAGATCCCGGGGGCTGTGGGGGAAGGTTGGAATCTCTTGCTGAGCCAGGGACATGTGGGCCACCAGCAGTACTTGCCATTTGGGGACTGATTCTCAGAGTCGCTCCCCTGGCCATGGTCCACATTCCAGGCTGGGGTGGGAGAGAACTACCTGGTGCGTTTATGGAGAGTCATTCATCTCCCCATTTATAAGCGTTATGAGTTGGAATGACTTCTGAAGGGAGAAGGGTTGTCACCAGCGCAGTCATTGCTTTGGGGATCTCAAGGTGTCAGCCCTCTGTTGGCTGCTGATGCCCGTCTCACACTTAATTGCATTCAAATATGTTGGATGCAGCTAAGCTGTATTAGTGTGTCTCTCTGAGCCGCAGGTCTGGAGTCCTGACAGGTGTTACAGCTCAGAGGGTTGGCTAGAACAACCACACACTCTGGAACGCTCCCAGGGCTCTGCCCTGCTCAGAGTTACCTGGGATTGAAATGTCCCTTAAAAGAGCCTTTGGCTTCTGGTCTGTCAATACATATTCATAATTATTTCTGCTGCCCTGAGGGCTGGGGTTAACATCTCTGCTATAGTTTTCTAGGCCTGGAAAGTTAGATCCACTCTGTTGTGTAGATGGATGTTTAGGGACTCGCCTGGTCAAGGAGCCATCTCACAACTCCTGCCACCTCTTACAAGACCCTCATCAGTGTCAGAGTGGGGGCGTAGAGGGGGGACATTTCCCTGAAGAAGGAACTCAATGACTTTGGAAGACATGAATAGTTCTCACTGTACTTGTGATCTCTGATCACAGATATAAGTGTAAAAAGTGTAAATAGGGGCTGGTCATGGCCCAGATCCCTGGAGGGGTGTCTACATTTTGCAAGAAAATAATACTAATGATAAACATTGTCATTATTTGTGCCAGGCACTAAGCGACACACACACACACACACACACACACACACACACACACACACACACACACAGAGTTCCTCAATCCTCCCATCAGCCCTTACTAGAGATGTGGAAATTGAAGCTCAGAGAGGGTAAGTAAATTGTCCAAGGTCACTCAGTGAACAGAGCCCAGGCCGTCTGGCCCCAGAGTGTGTGTGCTCACCTCTCTGCCACATCATCTTCATGTTAGGTGCTGTTTGTGAGGTAATTTACCAGTGATGGCAGGTCTACAAGCCTCAAAGAATTCTATTTTTAAAAAAGTTGCAATATCAAAGGCTTTTTGAGAGTTTAAATTATGTCCGTGTACTTTAAAAAATTCTAATAAATTACTCAGCCCTGAGTCGTCCCTACCACAACAACAATAGTGGTTTCCTTAAGCTTTGAGTGACTGGAGAATCTAATGTTCATTATCCACCAGCTTCTAGGAGTGCACGGGGATGTTTTCTGTGGTTTGGTGACATGAGCTCTAGAGATGCACACAGTCTCAAACCCCAGCTGTACCACTGACCTCAGCATGGGGCCCCATTACCAAGCGTCTTGGGAGCTCTGGCTTCATCTGCCAGATGCATCATAAAAAGTGATGTGGATGAAATCAACAAGGTGATGTGAATAAAACTGCAGTGTGTGTGGGCCCAGCTCAACCCTTGGCTAAACCTCAGACTGTTGTGAGCCCAGGGACAGAAGATGATATTGGAGACCCCAGAGAAGGCCTTTTCTGCTCCATGGGACTTTCGGGACCCTCCCAAACTCCAACCTTCGAGGATAACAGAGGTGAACACAAGACCCAGGGTTGGCTACATTGATTTATTGGAAACACAGATCAAGATGGAGAGGAACAAGGGGAGAGGCTGGGGGACCCTGACCACTGGCCCCATGGCAGCCTGGGAGAGGGTCCTGGTTCTGGTCCTTCCTGCCCTGGAACCCCCTTCCTGTGGGCACCAAGGGGACTTTTTTCTGGGGTAGCCTTTCCCATGGAGGAATGGGGGGTGGGATGGGGTGATTGGGTGGGGGCAGAGCGTAGGAAGAGGTGATCACGGAAGAGTCTAGGAGCAGGATGGACCTTTCAAAGTGGGGGAGAAGTAACCCAGTGCTTGCTCCCCCAGGGCTGGACCAGGCCCTGCTGGGCAAGGAGAGGTGCTGGTCGGGGCTTGAGCTGGGGCACCTAGCACTTGCGGCAGCTGCTGACACAGGAGCCTACGCCGCAGGAGCTGATGCCGCAGGAGCCCACTCCCCCAGTGCCCAGTCCACACGATGTGATGGAATTGCAGGGGCCGCAGGGCGCGCAGGGGGCACAGGGGGCGCACATCCCGGTGCTCACTGCCAGGTTCCCGCTGCAGGGGGCGTTGCAGGCGCTGCCTGTCACGGGCCTAGAGCCCGACACACAGAGGTCCCCACAGACGACTCCACCCCGGGAGCTGCTGACACCTGCGGACCCCAAAGCCTGAGTCAAAATTCTGATGGCAAGTTATCCCATCCCAAGGATACCCCTCCCCAAGTATCTCTACTTGACAGCTCCAGGTCCACCCAGGCCCACAGCTGTGGTCTTTCCTGGGGTCTGACCCCAAACCCCTTCTGTTGGAATGCCAGCCCTTTAATATTTAGCTCCTCGTGAAATCCCTCCTTCCAGAGTCTGCCATCCTTTAAAGCAAGAGAGTAAATCTACCCATACAGGGCACCTGTTACTTACAAACATTCACGGCCCCAACGCCTTCACACAGCCTGAGAGGAAAGAAGAAACAGAGCAGGATTAGTGACTTGGCCAGAGTGGCAGACAGAACTCCATAAATTTTGCGGGTTGGGTCCGCAAGTCAAGAGGGGAGGAGCAGAGGTCTGAGGAAAGAGCCATCCCAAATTGACCACTACCCCAAAGTGATCAAGAACAGGTTTATCTTAGTCCCTTGGCCCTTTATGGGGCAGAAATGGCAGCTTAGGCAGCTAGGGTCTCACCTCTGCTCCTCGCCCTCCAGCAGGCGCCTGTAGGTGGCGATCTCGATGTCCAGGCCCAGCTTGGAGTTCATCACCTCCTGGTACTCCTTGAGCAGGCAGGCCATGTCCTGCTTGGCCTTCTGCAGGGCGGCCTCCAGCTCGGCCAGCTTGCAGCGGGCATCGCTGACGGCCGTCTCGCCCTGCTCCTCAGCCTGCTTCACTGCCACCTCCAGCTTGGTGTTCTGGGGGCCGGAAGAGGACAGGCAGGTTATGGATCCAGGTCTCTCTGTCAATTTCCTGTGTGTGTCCAGTCACTCACACCCAGCTGGGAACACTCCCAAAACAGGCCCCTCACCTCCATGGTCTGGGTCTCCCTGGTAATCACACCCAGGACGCTAGTCATGCAAATGGGGAATGAATGGTGGAGTCCCTATGGCCTGTGGAAGCCAGGCCAGGCCCCCAGCCTCTCTGGTGGTCTAGGGTGCACGTGCCCCGTACCTGGCACTTGGCGTTCTCCACCTCGGCGGTCAGCCTCTGGATCATGCGGTTCAGCTCGTTGATCTCCTCCTTGGTGCGGCGCAGGGTCTCCCCGTGACGGATCACCGTGGCCTTCATCTCCTCGCACTGGGGGGAAGCAGAGATTCAGGACGGGACCTGCCACCCATTCAGGTCACCACAGATGAGAGCTCAGGCTGTACAGTGCTCAGGCTGAGCAACCACCCCTGGCAGCCCTGCCCTGCCCCCTCACCTTGAGAGCTGTCTGGCCTGTTATCATCCCTAGGGTTAGAATCCCCAGACAAAGGCAGCCTTTTCTAATAGATACCTCATATCTCTCCCACGGCCATGTCTAGGAGACAGGTGTCCTGTGCCACTCACCTTGCTGCGGTACCAGGACTCGGCCTCGGCCCGGCTGCGGCTGGCAATGTCGTCATACTGAGCCTTGATCTCGGCAATGACGCAGTCCATGTTCAGGTCCCGGCTGTTGTCCATCTTGACAACGACGGAGGTGTCTGAGATGTGGGCGTGGAGGACACGGATCTCCTGTAGGTTTGGGAGGCGGAAGGATCATGTGAATGCCACAGCCTCACCCACCATGGATACCCAAATCCCTGTCCATCTTATGTTCCAGGCCAAAGCCCGTCCTCAGGGTGGGCAGCCAGTTTTTTGCCTGGACCACAAGCCCTCACCTCCTCATACAGCCGCCTCAGGAAGTCAATCTCCTCGGTCAGGGCCTCTGCATTGGCCTCCAGGTCGGACTTGCGGAGGTAGGCGCAGTCCACATCCTGGAAAGGTGGGCAGTCATTCAGCTCAGAAGCCTGGTGATTGTCATTCCAATGCCCTCCTCTCACCCATTCATGGAGGCAGAGTGGCCGGGGAAGGATTTCCAGGGTTTCCATTCCCATCCCATCTCCATACTTTCTGAACTTCCTGGGGTGAGCCTCACAACCTCCTCCCCTTCTGAGAACAAACCCTTTTCTGTCTTGGAGATTAGCCACCATCCCTCCCGCTCCCACCTGAGATAGCTTACCCTCCCATTTCTCCTTTTTCACTCACTCTGTTCCAGGACCCTATCCAGACTGACTCCCCACTCAGACATCTTGGCCACTCCATCTCTCCCAACAGCCCTCCCAGACTCCACCTGGCCACTCCTGGTTCTGTTCCATCTTTCCCCACATTCTGCATCTCTGCCCCTCCTTTTATTCAGACATCCCACCCCTCTAGACAAAACATTGTCCCTCAACCAACACTGAAGATGCCAGGCCTCTGTGGGACCCAAGCCACAGACCCGACCTCCAAAGTCAAGCAGGACATCCAGAGTCAACACAGCCATCACTGTGTCATAGGACACAGTGGCTATTTCAAGGATATTGACCTTTGTCTAAGCTCTGGATGTGCCTTCCATGACCTGATCTCTGGGAATTCTCCACGTGATTTGACATGGTCACTGCAGCCCATACTGAGATTGAGATCTTCAGGGTCTCTCCAGGAAGAGTCTGTCATTCTAGGATCCCTCATGTCTGTGCTCCCCAAACCACATGACTCACCTTCTTCAGAGCCACAAACTCATTCTCAGCTGTTGCTCTCAGAGAAACTTCCTCCTCATACCTGAGACAGAAGAGGCAGAGAGAGGGGTCATGGAAGGGCAAATCTTCCATGAACTCCTCCCACTTCATACCAGGGCAGAGGCAATGTTAGGAACCTCCCACCACAGCCGGACCTCCGGCAGTCCTGTTAGGTCCTTGTGGTTGGATTTGGGATGTCTCCACCATTAAATGAGGGGTCCCTGGGGCTAATCTTCTGGGATCTCATAGCTGCTCTGAGGTCACCTAAGGAGGCAAATAAGGTCTCGGCACCAGCCCCATGCTGGCAGTGACCAGCATCGCCTCTGGGGCACAGCAGCCCAGCCACCCCTTAGCTGAGGGTGCATCCTTGCCCAAGTGTGGGTCTATGAGCCCAAAGACCCATCAGTACTATGGGCCCTGAGCTGTGGGACACCCAGAGCCCAGGACCTGTAGCATTTATTTCCCATCCGTGGGCCAGGTGCTATAGGTGGGAGGCCATGAGGAGAAGGCCTGGAAGATGTCAGAAGCCTTTTCCCCACAGAGCACAGGCAACAGCTGCTGGGTGGTCAGACTCCAAGAATAAAGGCTAAAGCAGAGGAGAGATGTCCTCGGGGAATCACAGCCCTCCTCTCAGGCCACAATTGTACCCTGGCCTGCATGGCTGCTCACCCTGTTTGGAAATTCTTCTCCTGTCTAATCCAATGGCTTTTAACCTAAATCTTTCCCTGTGTCCAATGCCAAACCCAGTCACACTCACTTCTTCTTGTAGCCCTCCATCACCTCCTGCACGTGGTTGAGCTCTGAGGCCAGCCTCCCGCTGTCGGCCTCCACACACTCAGCCTCCCGCCTCAGCGTCTCGACGTAGCCCTCAAACAGAGGCTCCAGGTTGCTCTCGCAGCACTTGCGGTTCTGGTAGTACTGCCACTTGGTCTCCAGCAGCTTGTTCTGCTGCTCCAGGAAGCGCACCTGCCATTGGGAGCGGGAGGAGCTGTGAGATGGTTCTTGATACCCCCAAACTAATTTGGAGCCTTGCTTTATGTAAACCCACAAAGCTGGAGCTCAGCAGAGCTTAGGTAGAGTTGAACATTGAGAGACAAAAGCAACTTCTGTTTCTTGACTATTACCCATATCTGGATTTTCCAATTTAGGGGTGGGACCTAGGATATGGGAAAGGTCAGCTCCTGCTCTGAGGTGAATAGTTTTCGGTTCTGATGAGTCTAGGTGGCATGTAGTCAGGAGCTGAGTGTACTGCTCTTGAGTTCCTATTCCGTGGCTAGTCTGAGTGGTGAGCCTGAGGAGATTTTAGGAAAGGTGTGATCAAGGACACCTTTCACAAGGAGGTCCCTGTGGCCCAGCTCTTACTTCTTAGGCACATTTCTTGTGTCTTGTGTGCATGTAGGGCTTCCTTCCTCTGATACAGTTCCAAGCCTTGCCCTTGGATTCCCTGCTTGCCTGGACAGAGGTTGTATACATGTAATAACAGTGTTATCAAACCAGGAGTCTCAGCCTCCCCTATATGCATCTCTCCATCTCTCTGTGTCTGTCTGTGCCTGGATGTGGTCCATCTCCTCCGTCAGACTGGGAGCTCACCTGGACCACATCCCTCCTGTCCCTGACTCCTCTTCAGTGCCCAGCCCAGCGATGGAAGGTCTAGGGAAGGGCCGGCCAAGGACACCCACCTTGTCAATGAAGGCAGCGAACCTGCTGTTGAGACACTTGATCTGCTCCTTCTCCTCATGCTTGACACACTGCGCGTTGGGGTCGATCTCCAGGTTGAGGGGAGTGAGGAGGCTCTCATTGACGGACACGGTGGTGATGCAGGGCGGGCTGGGCCCGCACACGCCGCCTGAGCGGTATCCGAAGCTGCGTCCGCAGGAGCCAGAGCGGAAGGCTCCGCAGACGCTTTGGCTGCCAAAGCCCCCTGTGAGGCCGCGGTAGCAGGAGACCCCGCGGTAGGGGGCGGCGGTGATGCAGCAGCGGCCGGGCCGGGGCCCGCAGGCGGAGGCGCAGCTGAAGGACTGGCCACAGAATCCTGATCCGCACGTCATGGTGCTTCTGGAGGTTGGGCGGTGGAGTAGAGGATGTGAGGTCTGGAGTCTTGGTGAAAACTCCAATGTGCTCCTCCAGCTGCCTCAGTCCTATTTATGGCCCAATGGGAAGGGGCTTGGCTATGCAGATGGAGTTGGGGCAATTTATGCTTTATGGGCTTGGGCGGTTAGCTGGGTTCACCCCTCTCTAGAATGTGCTTTAATGGTGGAGTGGCCCGCACCCTTTTCTGCATAAAGGATGCCAATCTCCGGGCCTTAGGGAGACTCAGCATGTTTCATCTTCAAAGTACCTGGCCTGCTGGGCATGCACTCATCTGAGTGTGCTGGGGAGAGAAGGGCAGGGCAGGGCAGGGGAGGGGAAGGATGGCAGGAACTCACAGGGGAAGAGGAGGAGAAGGGAGGACAGATGCTGGGAGAAGCTAGAAAGGCCTGGGTGTGTTGGAGAGTGAGTAGGGAGGAGGCACAGGAAAGGAGGAGGTGTAAGTGTCCATTTCAGGAGGGGACAAGGTGCCACTGAAACACGAATATGGATGTTCCTCTCCCTAGGGCGTTCAGTGGGGTACTGAAACACATCTGGTCTTTTCTTCCACGGCAGCAACTACTGCATTATTAGAGATTCGTATGATGTTCTTTTCAGCTTTTATTATTCAAATCTCCAAACATATAGAAATGTTGCCAAAACTGGTTTGGCGCAGTGGAAAGAGTGTCGGTCTGTGGACTGAAGGGTCCCAGGTTCGATTCTGGCCAAGGGCATGTACCTTGGTTGTGGGCACATTTTCAGTAGGAGGTGTGCAAGAGGCAGCTGATCGATGTTTCTCTCTTATCGATGTTTCTAGCTTTCTATTCCTCTCTCTTCCTCTCTGTAAAAACTCAATAAAATATATTTTTTAAAAAAAGAAGAAATGTTGAGAGACTATATGACAAACATCCTGAGGTGTTTCACCTAGATTCCAAGATTAGATAGATGTTAACTTTGTGCCATATTTCTTTTCACATTGGCCCAATTATTTGACAGTTGCATGGCAAGAAAATGAGGAATAATTCCAAAAATGATTATCCATTCCACATTCAATTTTCCTAATTGTCTTCCAAATTTTTAAAAACAGACTTTATGTGATTTAATGCATGTCTATCAACTGGAAGTTAACTCTACAGCTTGGCTATTCAGTATGGTAGCCAATGGGACATATGGCTATTTAAATTAGTTGACATTAAATTAAATTCAAAATCGAGTTTCTCAGTTGTACTAGCCACATGTCACACAGGACTAGTGGCTACCTTATTGGACAGTACAGATATAAAACATTCCCACCATCACACTAGCATCTGTTAGATAGCACTGGTCTAGAGACTTGTTTGGGCTTAATTGAAACATATTTGGGCAGAATACTTCATAAATGGTGCTATGTAACTATGAAGCACAAAGTGTCAGGTTGTTCTATTATTCATGATGTTAAATCAGATCACTTGAATACATTTTCCCCTTTACAGTTAGAAAGTACTCTGTAAGGAAACATATTTTGATAAGAGGATTATAAAAATTAGTCACCTATTATTATTACACTAGAAGTCCAGTGCATGAAATTCGTGCATGGGGAGGTGAGGGATTGGACATCTAAACAAACAATTGGACATTCCTCTCACAATCCAGGACTGCTGGCTCCCAACTGCTCACCTGCCTACCTTCCTGATTGCCCCTAACCACTTATGCCTACCAGCCTGATCACCCCTAACTGCTCCCATACCAGCCTGATTGATGTTTAACTGCTCCCCTGCCAGCCTGTTTGCTCCCAACTTCCCTCCTCTGCCCTCCTGGTCACCCTTAACTGCCCTCCCCTGCAGGGTTGATCACCCACAACTGCCCTCCCTTGCAGGTCTGGTCCCTTCCAACTGCCCTCTCCTGCTAGCCATCTTGTGGTGGCCATCTTGTATGTTGGAGTCAATCTGCACATTACTCTTTTATTAGATAGGATGCTATAAATGAACTCTAATTCTCACAACTATATGAAGTATGCACCATTATCTCCATTTTACAGATGAGAAAATTGAGGTTGAGAGAAGCTAAATAACTTGCCCAGTTTTTGGCTTGTAAGTAGTGTAGCTCAGGAGATACTATGTCTTCTCACCTACAAGATATGACAACCCCTGGATTGCCTAATCCCTGGAAAACCAAGAGTATAGAGAGTTGTTTAGGAGGGAATATCTGTGGAGTTAGAGTTGGAAAGAAAGCCTAAGGATGATGGGCAGTCAGAGGTGATTAGAATGGTTAAAAACAGGAGGGGATGCCCTAGCTGGGTGGCTCAGTGAATAGAGCACCAGCCTGTGGACTGAAGAGTTCTGGGTTTGATTCTGGTCAAGGGCACATACCTCAGTTGCAGGCTTTTCCCCCATCCAGGCCCTGGTCAGGGCTTGTACAAGAGGCAACCAATCAATGTGTTTCTCTCACATCAATCTTTCTCTCTGTCTTTTCCTTTCTCTTACACTCTCTTTAAAAATCAATGGAAATTTATCCTTAGGTGAGGATTAACCCAACAACAACAAAAAACAAACAAACAGGAGGGGGCAATGGGGTGTGAGTATGGCAACAGGGCAATGTGAGGCTGGGGCTATGGGTTGGATCAGCAGGATCCTTTGCCTGGTAATGGAAGGAAGGGGATGGAAAGTGACAGTTCTAGTTATTCCTATACCAGTACTTACAGTGTATTGTAAGTAACCTCAATAAATTGAAGTGTATTCTACTTATTCATGAAGCACCCCACTCCAATAAAGCAGGTCTAGAAAAATTAACTCATAAAATACAGAGACTTGTATAAGTAGAAAGGAAGAAAAGATAAGTGAAGTGACTTGGCTGGCAGCTCCCTATGGCTGCTGTGTCTTTGGGGCAAAGGTAGGCAAAGTAGCTTAGGGGAAAGGAACGGGGCTGTGGGGGGGGGAGGGCATTAATGGGAAAAAGAGAAGGAAGAAGGAGAAAAGAAGAGAATAGGGTGTCAGGCATAGGGCTCCAGGTGTCCATGCAAAACATTCAAGAGTGGAACCTTGTGCCAGGAATGACATGGGGTCACAACTATGTCAGCCATCTGGTCATCCCAGAGGAGGGAGTGGCACCTGCTGTCATTTTATGTGTTTGGAGAGCTGGCCAGCACTTTATCCGCAATCCTTGGCACTGCCCACAGTTGAGCAGTGGTGCTCCCAGCAAGCCAGCTGGCCGGGTGTCCTGAGGAGAAGCACAGTGAGTCAAAGTGCATTGCACAGTCACTTTACCTTTTCGACAAGTATAACTCCCTATAAAAATGACATGCATAAACACGGGCTAATTACTAATGGCTGGCCCTGGCAAAGCAATTTAAAAAAAAAAAGCAAGAAGCAATTTAAAACCAGATAGAAAAAAAAAAATCAAACGTGACACCATTTCATAAAACTTCAGGCATTACTAGTTGTGGCTAATTTTTGAGGACCTTAAAGGACATTCAACCCGTATGCTTTCTTTGAGTGAAAAAGTTTTATTGGGGTGGCGGGAGAGTTAGCAAAACCATTCTATGGCCTTGGCTCTGGCAATGTCAGCTTTATGAAAGTTAAAATGGTTTTTATTGTGAAATCTGACACACACCCACACAAAAGAATGCATAGATGGCGTGCTTAGCACTTACTGGGAGAACGAGAACAGACATGTAACTTCCGAGTTCCCTATGAGCCTCACTGATCGTACCCCTTCCTTCCTGGCCTAGGGATGGTTCCTCTGTGGGATTTTGTGTCAAATCATTCCTTTGTGTTTCTTTACAGTCTTAGTGCTTAACCTTATATTACTTACTTTTCCAGTTTTTAAATGTCATATAAATGGGATCCTATTGTGTATATTCTTTTGTGTCTGGTTTCTTTTGTTCAATGTTGCTTCCTGTAGCTTCATAGTGTTCATTTCACTGTGGATTGTACTCATCTTTCTACTCCGATGGCCTCATGGTTGATTCCAGAGCTGCCATGAACATTCTCATGTCTTCTGGCATGATCGTGCAAGAATCTTTCTAGAGCATTGATTTTTTTAAAAAACTATGCAAGTAGTATATACTTGGTATAGAAACTATTTTATGAATATCCCTTCAAGATCAAAAGAAAATAGCATCTCTTGTTGTTCATCTTGCTTCATACTAGATACTATACTAAGAGCCCAACATGCATTTAATTTTCACAATTGTCCCCCTGAGGCAGTAGTTATTATTCTAATTTTTCAGAGAAGTGCACAGAGGCCCAGGGGGATTAAGAGACTGACTCGAGCTGTGTGGTTAGTGGCAGAGCTGGCACTTAGAGCCTGGTGTGTTTGATCCCAATGGAAGGATGAGTTTATCTCATTGCACTCCCATCAACCCACTGTCCACCATTATTAAAAGTATCACACAGAAAATGGTGTTTATATATAACACATTAACACACACACACACACACACACTCACTAATCCCCTCCCTCCAGTTGCCCTCTTCTGGGCCTTTCAGAGTGTTCTCAGGGTTTAGGACAGAGGATGGAGGAGTGCTCATCTTTGTTCCTGGTGAGTTTCCACTTCAAGACAAAAGCTGAATACAGATGATGAACAAACATGCAAACCCTGGAGCACACCAAGGGGTACAAATATTTGATTCCTGGATATTATTCCAAGAGCTTGACACATAGTAGGTGCTCAATAAATATTTGTTGAATGAATAAAATGAATACCAGCTGTTTGTTAAGTGCTGAGTAATGGAGCCATCAAAGCTTGGTGGTTAATTGTATAAAGCTTTCTGGTAGGATGGCTTGGGGAGCAGATGAAGCAGACCAGAGGGTGGTCATTCCTGGTGCAGGGGGTGGGATAGGGAGACGTTCCTGACTGGGGCTTGAAGGAGGGATGAAGCAAAGTCTTACCCTGAGTGACGATTAGAGTGGTAAGGAAAACCAGTCAATGAGGGCATGAATACTGAAGGGCTTAGGGTAGTGTGGTAAGGTTGGGGGAGGAAAGAGAAGTAGATTTCTAGGA